TTTTTGTTAAAGGTGCTCAAATGAGAAATCCATCAGTGGCTTAGCTTTGAAATTTCATTTTTGGTCTAATATGATTATTTTTTCGGGTTTTGAGGCTTTCATTTTCAGTTTGTGTCGTTTGGCGTAAATCTTTTATGTTTTGGCCAAATTTGACTTCGGTCAACAGTTTTGGTAAACATGCTCGAATGAAAATTTTGTCAACGGTTAGCTCGGGAGGGTCATTTTTTGTCTAATAGGATGGTTGGTTCGACTTTTGAGTCTTTCATTTTATGTGCCGTTAGACGTTTTATCTTTCAAATTTTAGCCAAAATTTAATTTGTTAAAAAAAATCGTAAAGGTGCTTGGATTAGAATTTGGTCTGTGTAGTTAGCTCCGGAAGGTCATTTCTGGTCTAATATGATGGTATGTTCGGGTTGTACGAAGAAGTAGTAGAGGCCTCTTTCTTTTGATTTAAGTCTACAATTGTGATGAACGTGTCTACTGAAATATGTGTATTACTATTAATATTAATTTAATATCATGTACGAACTTTTAAAAAAATTAGCTATAAAATCTTTATTAGACCTAATTTTGTATTTTAGAGAAAAAGCTCCAATATGTTATCGAACTATTAGAAAATTGACTCATTTAGTCAGCACAAAATATCTACAATTCATGGATACACATATATATTTTATTGCAAAGTTAATTAAAGTAGTTGAGATATGTCGTGTAACGTGTAACGTGTTTACATACTACACTCTAAATAATTTAGCGAAAATAAAGATATGTCGTGTAACGTGTTTACATACTACACTCTAAATAATTTTCTCTTTAGTCAATACTATAAAAATGACACATTTCTTTATATGAAAAATCTTTCAACATTATCAACATTGTATCCACGTTGGATCTCACTCATTCGTGTCCAATTAAATTAACTATATCAAATAAATTAGGATTAAAAAAAGTACGAAATATTTTTTATTTATATTTTCACCCTTATATTTTAAAAAAAAAATCCCACCTAACATATAAATATATAACTTAGTAGATGACATTTTATTAAATAATATAGAAAGCAAAAAATGTTTAGTTATTTTTTAATCTTTCTTTTTGTCATTACAGACTTGGGCAATAGGCGTGAGCTAGTGTGTATTTCCTTTTGTTCTGAGTTATCAAATGAAAGGATCCCAAATTTTAAATTTAAAAAAAAAAAACAAAAAACGTCCAAAAAGAACAACAAAGGCAGGCGATATTAACAAGAAACAAAAATCAGCTCACTTGACTCTTACTAGTTCGAACTAGGTAATCTTCATCAAGAATCTCTAAGCTGCATTGAACAAGCACAAATTCCATCAAGAATTTCTAAGCTGCAGTGAACAAGAAACAAAAAGCTGAAATGAAGAAGAACAAAATTCATCAAGAATTTCTAAAGCAAAAGCTAAGATCGAACTGGGTAATTTCTTACTGATCTGTTTTCTAAGTTCCACTACAGATCAATGATAGATCTCCTCTCAAGAGTTGAACGGATTCAACTACAAATTGCCTAAGTTTTCATCTCAAGCTCTAATTCGCTACAGTGATTTGATATATGGAGTATTTCTTAGAGCAAATAAGGTCTTTAATCATTCAAGAGTATAACAACTCATGGACTGCATCTCATATATACAGAAAGACCCACATCGTGTTGCTGGGTATGTCTTCATCCCCATTCACCCCTCTTTTGTTCAAGTAATCATTGCATGTGTTGCTTGTTTTTGTTGATGTACTTAGCTTGTTGTAGATTTCATGCTTGTTTCAATTCCTACATATTATTACATTTTTAGTATTTTAATTTCATCAATTTAAAGATTGGGTTTTGTTTTTGTCTTTATTTCTGGTGAATAAAAAGAATCTTAAAAGAATTGTACAAATACTTCAAATAAAAATTGGAAAAATTCATTATATTTGAAAGAAAAAAAAAGAAAAGTTGAAAAGAAGAGAAAAAAAAGAAAAAACTTTTCCGCTAAACTCCCCACCTCCCTAAATTACACAAACTTTCGCCACTATTCAGGTTTTTTCTCTAATTTCTGCCCACGTTCAGTATCAGTACTTTATCTAACTCATTTTCATTTTCATCTCATTTTAAAGATTGTCTCCGACTACACTCACTCGCAATTCAACTGTGGCTCTTGGATTCTCAGTTTCACTATCCTTTCCGCTAAGTGGTAAGTATTCTTTATCAAGCTTAGTTTCTCCTTTTTGTTTGATACAATCAGTCAATTGTAGAACTTCAAATGTGCTCTATTTGCTCAATTAATATATAGCATTGATATAGTGAATATATAGACTTGTGTTTTTGAATCCCCTGTCAATTTCTCTAACATAGTTGTGAATTGGGTTCACTATTCGGTACACCATTTTTGATCCCCCAGCTAAAAGATAAGTTTATATTTTTATAGATTAAGCCACATCATTCAAAAATTAACAAGGTGATTATGGAATTTACTAAAAGTACTTACTGTTTGAAAGTGCAAACCATTTTTTTAACCTTCTAACAACAACCTGACTATATCTTTTAATCTTTAAAGTGATATTATATTGAGCGGCCAGAAATAAAATTCTAAACGCGATAGTTAGAAACACTTTTGAGCAAAAGCTGAATATGAAAATATCTTTTTGTCGATTTAGTATATTGTAAGAGTATAAAACTTCTAAACCATCATACTATATCCAAATATTAGTATTTTTAATGAAACTTACTCAATCCAAGAGTTGTCTTGCCAATACTAAGAAATAGTGGATTCCTGATTGTTGGCAATTAGAAAAAGAGATGAGAAATCATCTCTCACACTCTCTGTCCCTAACCATCTTTCTTTCCAGAAAGATATATGATCTTCACTCCCCAGCTGGAGTGAAGACTTGGGTTGGAGCTTCCCCCATTGCTTTGAAATGTGTTTCTAGAGACTTGAGCCTTGGCGATCTCTATTTCGTCTTGTGCACCAGTTGCTTTCCACCCCATTTTCCCAAATTACAACTTTCTATAGTTCAGGATTGTCCATGTATATCCAATGACATTTCATTAGAAAACTCTTGTTGTGCAAGATCAAATCTTTAACCACTAGCCCATTATGTCTCTTAGGTATAATAACCAAATGAAATTTGTTAGTTTAACGGTTACCTTCCCATAAGAAATCTCTTCTTAACCGATCTAGTCTTTCCTGAATCTTTTTTTGGTAATGGAAATAGGGACATGAGGTAGGTAGGAATGTTGTGCAACACTCTATTGATGAGTGTAAGTCTGCCACCAAAACAGAGATATTACATTTTTCTAGGAGGTCAATTTCCTTTCAACTATTTCAATCACAATATAATTATAATACCATTTGTTACATGTTTAAAACTACAAAAGATGTAGAAGAACATAATACTTTTCATTGCCTTCATATTTTGAGTTACATGTTTTATGAAGTTTTGATTTTACGAAGGTACTAAAAAAATGAAGCTTCAGTGGAAATATTTGTCTTGCTGCCTTGATTATAAAATTTGCACCCTTTTTACTATTCAATATTTTATAATTATAATGCCATTTGTTAAAAATTAGTGCATATTCTTATGTTCTCTTATATTGTTTTAGCTTGTGATTGTTTTTAAGTTAATTGAGTCAAATATTTCTGTTCCCGTTATTTAGGAATGATATCATATTACTATTTATTTGAATAGGACTTTGTTGGAGTTATTTTAGGATAAAATGTTGTTATTTAGTTTATATATATACAACTTGCATACCTGTTGTAAAAAATAGAGATTTCCAGTTCAAAGTTAAAACAAATAACATTATTCTATATTCCATTTTCTGTTATACTGCAAATTTCTTCTTTTCAATTCTCTGTGTGTTTTTGTTTCAATAATTACCCTTCTCACATTATCAGAATAGAAGGTTTGTAAGTAAAATGAGTTCAAATCGTCAATGGATGTACAAAAGATTAGCCAAAGGTCTTTATGATCCTAAATTCATAAGGGGTGTACAACATTTTATTGAGTTTGCTATGAGTCATCCAGAAGGGAGGGACGGTGAGAGACTAAGGTGCCCATGTAACCGAAAGAAATGTCAAAATTGAAACTTTGAAAATGTTCATACTGTCCATGGTCATTTATTAAAAGAAGGTTTTGTACCGGGATATCATGTATGGTACTTGCATGGAGAAAATGAAGTTGCGAGAAGCATAGATCAAGATGAAATGATACCACGGGATCATTCTATGAATAACCTACCCGTGAATGTTGGTGCTATTTGATGATCCTACACCTACTACATCATATCATAGAGTGGTTCATGAGGCTGCTGGTCCCGTATTTGTTCCAGATGATATGGAAGAATTACCTAATCCTGATGCACAAAGTTTTTATGATATGCTTGATTCTGCAAATCAAGAAGTGTGGCCTGGTTGTGAAACACACTCAAAATTATCAGCTGTTGCTCGTTTGTTGCATATCAAGGCTGAACATCACCTCTCTGAAAGATGTTTTGATGATATTTGTCAATATGTGAATGAGATGATTCCGCCTGATAATGTGATGCCAAAAAATTTCTATGAAACTAAAAACTTAATGAGGGGGAATGAACATGCCAGTTGAAAAAATTCATACTTGTGTCAATGCCTGCATGATTTACTGGGGAGAGGATAGTGAACTTGTAAATTGCAAGTTTTGTAGTCATCCCAGGTATAAGCTTACAAGTCAAAGATCTATTCAGAAGAAAAATCTTGTACCATTCAAACAGATGTATTACTTTCCTCTTACTCCACGACTGCAACGAATGTATGCTTCCACAGCAACTGCTTCACACATGCGATGGCACGCTGAACATGAAGTTGAGGAAGGTGTGATGCGTCACTGTTCAGATGCACCTGCCTGGAAGCACTTTGATAAGAAGCATCGATCTTTTTCAGAGGAAAGTCGTAATGTTAGATTGGGACTGTCCACTGATGGGTTTCAGCCATTTGGTCAAACAGGAAAGCAATATTCATCTTGGCCAATAATTGTGACACCATACAACTTACCTCCTTGGATGT